GAAATACCACCAGATGGCTACAGGTGACTTTTTTTTTTTTTAAACAAAAATGGATTTTGTTTAAAAGAGGATTTTTAAACAAAGCCATATATTGAACCTTACTGAATTATATAGCCATGATGAATGCAGGGAAACACTGGAAGTTTTTCTGAGATTGTGACACGGCACAGTGTGTTGGATAGCCTTACAGTTCCTCCACAGACATGGGGTTCATAGGAACAAATTGTTAGATTTTCCCTTCTCTCTAGTGTTTCAAGTATTTGTGAGACCATCTCTCCGTCGCTTTATGTATAACCTGCATAAAACAAAGGCCTCATCTCTTATTGTGGGTCGTGCATATGCAGAACTGGTGGTTGTTCTGAGCTGGGATTGCAAGTCATCTTAAAAAAAAAAAAAGTGAGACCCAAGTTTTGGGGGAAAAAAAATGTAGAAGTCCAGTAGTGTTCCGTATCTGAAATACAGATGTGGCCATGTCATCTGTAGAGAATAAGCCATCATACTTGGATTCATGTGGCATTGTGAACTAAATTGCTGTTTGAAAATTGAACAATGCTGTTTTGGAGATGTTTGGGTTGGTTTTTTTGTCCCCTCCATAGTGCAAGTCTATTTGATTAGATTTTTTTTTTTTATTTACAAAGGCTTGAAGAAATAATGTAACTTGACTGATTTGAACATGAATTAAGATGACGAAATTCTTTAATTTACACTTCAATAATTTTGCTTTCTTTACTGTTCTAAAATGAAACAGATCAAGGCAGCCCTCAACTATGCACTCTGGGTGGGTGAAGATAGACAATATGGCATCTTTGTCCTTAATTGTCTAATTTGTTTGGACACTTTTGTGGGTCAAGTGGTATTTTGTGCGTTGGGACCAAACAGTTGTCAATAAAAATTTCAAGCAAGCATGTTACCTTCTCTCTCCGTTTTTTTCCAGTGAATATATGTATTTAAAAGGTAGATTTATATCTGCATAACAGGGGCCCCACACGTGTAAAATATGAGCAATTGGTATTCCTACGATTGATCTTTTTGAGATCTCTCAAGCCAAAAGATACATTGACACTTAAAACTTTACATTGGTCAATAGCATGAACTTTTTGTTTTGGAAAGTGGAAGAACTACAGGACCCCAATGGCTCGGGCTGTATAAATGGTGTCAAATTCCAAAAAGTGTTTCAATTCTACAAGCTCCTGATCTCTGTCCTAGTGGGTGTAGAACATCTTCCTTCCATGTATTTGAATCACCAAGATCCACATTTTCAGAAGCAACTTTTCACAGTATTGTATGTAGTCAGGTTCTCCTGTTTTGAACGTGATTTTGAGCAAATAGACTGCTCAGTTAAATGGATTAGGTTGATCTGCCTCCAACCTAACCTCTACCAGATGCATCTCCCAGAGGTTCAACAGATCTGGAAGATACCATGTTGGAGAAAGGTGGTTTGGGTCAAGAACAACATGGCGATATCTGACGTAGCCTGAGAAGCTGTGTATTCAAGGTTCTGTCTCACCATGAATCTTGGTATTACTTGGGTAATTTTCCTAATGCTCAGCCTAGGCTAGATTTTGGGGCAAGATAAAATTAGAGAAATCCAAAATATACTACTGGAGATTCTTGGGACAAAGAACGAGTGACCAATCATCTGCTCCTTGTTCCTTCCTTCTGAGTGGTCTTCCGCCCGCAGTTTACACCTCTACATTTAAACACATGGGCAATTGTGTCTCCTCAGTTGCAGCTCTGCATGTAATGAATTGTTCAGAACAATTAATGGACCACTGAAGTCACTAAATTAACTATGTTTAAAAAAAAACACAACTTATTGTTCTTCACACAAGAGCAGTCTTGTGGATCATATAGGAAGCCACTGCAAACCACAACAGAACAGATTATTTGTCATCAGCTTCTTGTAGGCTATTAGCTATGCTATTTAGCATTTTATTAACACATATGTCATTGTGAAAAGGAGCCACCCAGCCACTTGGATGGTGTTTGCCTCCGTTCGCCCACCAATCAAATGTCGCCTGTTAAAGGAAGAAGGTGTGGGATGTATCCTGTATACAACAGACAATTAAAACTGCTACATCTTATTTGGTATGGTTTCTAGTTCAGAGCTGGCATTGGGCTGGGAATTTATCCTACCCATATGCAAATTTTACATATAAGCTGGATTCACACAATTTTTCACCAGGCCAGGTAAAGACTTAGCAGATACATTCACACAGTATGCTAAGCTTAAGTCAGTATTCATCTTGGTTATTTTCCCCCCTTATGGAGATGACTTAGCATCCTGTGCAAAACCAGAAAATGAGTTATTCCAGAACCCAGATTAACACCATGTGGTGTGAACGCAGCTGTAGACATACAAATGGCCCTTGATGTTACCTGCAACCCATAAGCCATCCCCCAGTCTATGCCTACGCTTCACAGGGCTTCTCTGCGTTCTGGTTACAGTTACTTCTACTCCTCGTCTTACCCTAGGCATGCTCGCTGAGGTCCATGCAACATGAAGGAGTCACCAAGTAGCACATTGGGCACACTAGTTACTGTAAGAAATACAACAGGGGATTCAACGATCAAGAATATCTGGATGCTTTACGTCCTGGTTCCCTCGCCCACCAGTTTTTTGGCCAACAGGGAAGTGGGTCGAGCAGAAGGCGTGCCCGAGAGAGATGCTGGGCTACATGATGGCGCACTGGGTCATCCCACAGCAATCCTTAATGAGAGCAGTGCTGGTTTTGGCAATAGTGGGCTTGTTGGGAGGAACTGGTGGAGGCTCAGCTTTCTTCTCTGTAGGTACCCCTGCCAAGGTCAGAACAGAGAGCATCATTTATTGTCAGACTCGGGTTTCTGCTTGCATTCACTGCCCTAACTCAAACCACCATAGATCATTGGTGAATCCAGCTGTTGTCATTTATAGATCACGACTGAGCAGATGATGCAAATAAGATGACTGGGATTATTCAAGGAACTATGGTTAAAGAAGCCAGGGCTTAGTGAAATGTGTTATCCCAGCCCATGTGGGTGTAGCTGTAATCTTTTTCCCATGCTTTCCTTCACAAACTAAATGCTCCTGATGTAGACAATGTCAGCTCGCAAGAGCCCATCTGCTCTGTATGCTGGCCTGGAGGATCAGAATTGTAGTCCCAACCCCTGGTCAATAGCCCAGTGGAAAAAGTCTGCTAGAAATGTTTAATCATAAGTCGATCGAATTGAATGCAGTTTGGTGTAGAGTGTCACACTAGAAACTGGGAGACGGTGAGTTCTAGTCCCACCTTGGACACAAAGCCAGTTGGGTGACTTTGAGCCAGTCACTCTCTCTCAACCCTAGGAAGAAGGCCAGGACAAGCCACTTCTGAAAATCTTGTGAAAAAAAATGGAAGTGATGTGTCCAGGCAGCCACCAGGAGTCAAGACTGACTTGAAGTCACACAAATAAAATAAAATAAAAATTCAGTTAGTTGGATCATTTAGATATTGAACCTAAGAATGTCAGTATGCAAAGCATAAGCTCTACGTTGGGGCAAGCAGTAGGAGTCATCACAGAGATGTAATTGTAACCAAGTTCTGGATTAACAGAGTTCTTACGGGCTGAGATTGAAACCACTTGAATTATATGTTCCCATAATATGCTAAGCCATAGTTTGCTTTTCTGGCTTATGGAAACAGCTACAATTGGCCATAAATCAGGGTTTATATACCTTATTGCTTGGCTTTCCACAATGTAGGAAGTCATAAGCAAGAAAACCACATTTTGGTTCATTATTCTATATGAAGCAAACCTTTGTTTTAAAATAATTTGGGAAAAGTGCATGCAAACTTACTGGTTGGAGACTGTACAACATTATCCAAAGGTTTCAACTTAATCCGTAGGAAATCAGCCATGTCCTTGTCTTCTTCCTTCTCTCTGTTTAAAGCAAAATAGCACACTGTTAGAAGTTAGAAAAGATTTTGTTTTGCTTTCTTTTTTTAATTCAAATTGTGCAACCAATGAACTTGTGGAAAAGAAACTGGAAAATTCTAGCAAGCATCAAGAAAATTCTGTCAAGAAAAGATAGAAATTGATAAATGAATAGCTTTTATGAAACCAACACAGAATTATAGGGAGAAGATGAGAAATTGTGTTCATGTTAGGAATAGGTAAGAATTTTGGATTACTTGTGAACTCTGGGAGTTATCATCCCAACATGTGGATGGAGTCAAGTTAGGAAAAGCTGTGGCAGCCATGTAATTGACCATGAAAAATGTTAATTAGGTTTGGACTGGGTTAGTACTGGGATAGGACTATTGAGTGGAATAAGGTTTTTTTTAACAAGTCCCAGAAGAAGGCAATGGCAAATCACTTCCATACTGTTGCCAAGAAAGCTACATGAATAAGACCATGAAGTCATCAAGAGTTGAGCTCAGCTTGAAGGTTCTTCATCTTAATTTCTCTTACCTCAATCTCTCCACTTCTGCGTCATCAACGAGAAAGTCTCTTTTCTGCACTAATTTATGGATTTTCTGGATCAACTCATCCTCTCTTTGATTCTGCAGCTTAGTCTTGTCTTTTTCTGTTCAGGAAAGAGAAAGAAAAGACTTTTGGAAGACGATGCTGTGCCGTTTCTTCCACGTTTGCTCGTTTTATGGCAAACTTGAGTTGCTGTTGCATAAGGCAAGTACAGGGGATGGCCTATCTACTAGCTCTACAAAACCTGACTCTTCACTCACTGAACAGCCAATAAGGAAGTTTTGTTTTGCAGTTCAAGGCACATGAGAGCCACAACAAAATGGCAGAGAAAGTGTTTTTAAGTTTTCCAGGGACTCTGTTCTTATTTTTTTAAGAGAGAGAGAGAGAGAGAGAGAGAGAGAGAGATTTCATGTTCACAAATTGCTTAATGGGAATTTCCTTAGACAAAATACAATTCGGGGACTCTTCAATCACTTTGGAGTGTCTTCCACTTGTTCCGGCACACAACTGAGTCATTTCCACAAAGCAATTACCTGGGATGGCTACTAAATTCTGCAACTCTTTCTTAAGGTTCATAATGTCTTTGCACAACTGGATGTCGTCCATCCTAAGAAATGGAGGAAAGAAGAAAAAAAAATGAATTGGGCTTCATGGCACCTTTACGTAGCATCATAGAATTGAGGTGATCCAGTCCAATCCTATGCTCAGTGCAAATTAAAACATCCCAGACTGACACCTGTCAGTTTGTCCTTTTCTTTATGACATCCAACAAAGGGATGCTTGGAGCCAAGCAGCAGGTGTAAATGCTGGGGTACATGAAACAAACAACCCAAGGATCATGGAAATCGATGAACAAAGAATGATGGGCAGAAGGTTGGGCGTGCCTTTTCCTGGAAGTCAGGAAGAATCATTGCAAATCCATGTGCAAAAATGGAAAGATTTACAAATACCAACAGCAGAAGAATGGATATTGAAACTAATGGAGCTGGCAGAGAAGGCAAAATTGACTATTTTGATCAAAGAAAAGACATTGCCTAGCCTTGTTTCTATTTGGAAACCACTCTTGGACTTTTAACTTGAAACTCCAAAAAATGAAATATTGATTTTGGGGTTTGATGACTGATTTATTCTATAACTAGAGAAAGACTTTGTATTAATCTGTTTTATATTATTTGTTGATGTATATTGTAGTCTTTTAAATACCAGAGTAAGAGGTGAATGCATTTTATATCTATACCTGTACCAAAGAAATTCAGAAATTACTTTCTTTTTTTGTTTTGTCGGTATTTTTTTCTTCTGCTATTTTCTTTTTCCTTCTTGTCTTTTTATTCTTTACTGAAATTTAATAAAGTTCTTTAAAAAAAAAAGAAGAAGAACAATTGCAAATTCTTGCCATGTTTGATATATGAAATGTCAAAGGAAGCATGCTTCAAGGGCAAGGAGACACCTCTGACTCATAAGGTCTGTATCACATTGGGTGACAAAACAGCAGGCAGGATTAACATAGCACCAGAATTGTCATCTCTCTGTTTCCTTCCTGGCCATCGTTCCCAGCTGTTCCTGCATGCTGGCATTTTTTTAACAGTGGAGCTGGCAAGCTTGCAAGCCAGAGAAGCACCCAAAAACTCTAGAATGGAAGTTCTGATCATTTCATCCACAACCTCAAAGGTACAAGAAGCCACTTTTCTGGAGGATCAGTTGGTCCAATCTGTGGGCCATGGAGGGAGAAAAGTCCTCCAGCAAAATTGGCACAAGATTCAAGGCAACACAGCCACATACATTGCAGCCACACCCTGGTACAACGATGGGCATGGGGCCCAGTATTAATTAAAGTGTTGGACTAGCTCTGGGTCCAGGTTCAAGCCTCCCCCCCACCCAACCACAGAAAATCTGAGGGATTTTGGGTTGGTTACTCTCTCTCAGCCAAAATGACTTCATAGAGGTGTTGTTGGTGGGGAATGGGAGAAGGGAGCTTTTTAATGCCACCTTAAGCTCCTGAAGAAAAGGCAGGGTTAAATTAAACTAAACTAAACTTAAATAAAAAATGAAAAAGCAAAATGCCTGCAGACATCTCACTTGGGTGCCCCCTAGGCTCGTTAGCCCAACTGACCCTATGTGTTTTCTTCTAAAGAGAAAATTGTAATTTTAACAGTGACCATGGACTCATAGCTCCATTCTCACCTCAGTTCCTTTCACCAATCCTAATCTACTGGCTGGAAAAAGAAACAGGAGATTTGAACCTGGGGACCACTCTTTATATATGGCCCGAGGCTTATACTGTAGTTGGCAATTGCCGATATTCTGCTTTATTTATTTATTTATTTATTTATTTATTTATTTATATATATTTCAGATTTGTCACCACCCATCTCACTGTTGAGAATGATGGTTGTTCAAGTATCTGCAATAAAATTAGCATATCGAAGCGCTATGTTCTCGATCCTCTGCCCTACTAGCCTTCAAGATGAGCATGAGTCTTGAATATTTTGTCCAGTGCTGGGCCCCACATTTTAATAATAAATCAGAGAAATTGGGACAGGTGCAAAGAAGAGCAACCAGGATGATTGAGGAACTAGAAATTAAGTCGTATGTAGAAAGATTGAGGGAAATGCTACCATGCACTTTGAGAAAAGATGATTGAGTAGAAGTTAAATCTCCTTTCAATCCTGAAGCAATGCCATTTGGAAGAAGGCCACAAACTGTTCTCCATTATTCCAGAGAGCAAGATGCAGAATAATGTCTTAAATTAAAGCAGATTCAGGTTGAATGTTAGGAAAAAGTTCCTAGGAGTAAAAGCAGTTCAAAGAGAAACTAATGACCAAGAGAAAGATTGGACTCTCCTTTGCTGGAGTATCCAAGCAGAAGCTGGACAAATTTTTTTCAAGGGGGTTGGACTTCATCTCTTCAACAGCCCCTTCCAACTCTAGCATTCCATGTCCCATTTGAATCCTGATTTCCCACGAAAGTCACTCTCACTTACATAAATCTCAGTTCTGACTCTCTTCTGACCAAGACTTCTCGAAGTCTTTGGATCTTTGCCATTTCCATCTCTATTTCCTCGGGCATCATGGTTGTTTCTGCCATTGAAATGATGTTGAGTTGATCTGCACAGATTTAGGGCAGATAGAAAAGGAGAGAGTTTGACATAAAGAGCTAAAACTGGTCTTTCAACGAAGAGAAAACCAACCAGCCAACCATGTCTATTTCATTCCATGCTCCATCCATCACTCAGGTTCTCTGTTTCCCTCCCTTGAACAGATTTCTGGGCATAATCAGTTAGAAATGGGCAACTTTTCTACAGCCCAGGTCTGCAGAAAACAAATCAACAAAATGATGATTTGGTCTCTGAGAATCACAGGCAACAATACCAGTGACATCATGGCACTGAAACAGACAGGCCAAAAACAATAATCCCCTTTGGGAGCAGTTGGGGGATTTTCAGAAGTGGAAGGATGACTTGAAACATCCATTTTGCCCAAGATGGAGAACATCTGCCTGATTGATTGGATGTTCTTCTTAAGGGCAAAATGGATGCCAACAGCTTTTGCAAAGGTGCCCATTTTGACCTTTAAAATTCCCCCTTTGAATCCCTCTGAAAATGGGCTAAACTGCCTTGCTTATCCTGGAAGGGCTTCAGGGCTTCCCCAAAGGTGCTGAGTAACATGGGTTTTCCTCTAAGACTACCATATTTGCATTTCTAACATTTGGATAACCACCAGATAACAGACAAGAGATACTTGTCTGATGTTTTGAGAATATCCCAGAAATAAAGAGTTATATAATCTCTTCCCTCCTTTTCTTGAGCATCCCTTGGAAACCCAGATCTACACAGGAACACACACATACTTCCCACAAAAACACATACATTTCAGCTGCTATTTGGCCATTGAATACAAAATAAAGACACAGTGATCAACTAGAGACTTCTTTTTACTTTGCTCCCAAGGTCGCTTGGAACTCAGGATGTTTGAGACAAAGGATCCAGAGCCTTCTTGCATGCAAATAGTGTGGTCCTTCTACCTGGATCCTCCATGAAAAAAAATCAATTAATGGCAATAAACATAATTCAGTGCATTATTTAGCTGGACATTTTGGGAATTGTCTGGAGAAAATGAATGGGGGATATCTTGACACCTTCTATTGATGCCTGGGAGTAATGTTAAAATAATGGACACAATGAAAAAAGAAACACAAAATCATTAAATTAAAGCTATTGCATAAAATAAGAGGGATTGTGTAGTGGAGGTGTGGCAATTTACCCCAAGTCTCAGGTAATGAAAAAAGCACTTCCATCACAGAATATACCAGGAGGAGGAGGAGGAGGAGGAGGAGGAGGAGGAGGAGGAGGAGGAGAAGAAGAAGAAGAAGAAGAAGAAGAAGAAGAAGAAGAAGAAGAAGAAGAAGATAGAAGTAGTTCTGTCTTTGCACTGATGTTCTCAAATGTTACAAGAATTATTGTAAATAATTGTGAAATTTTATAGCTATGGTGAGCTATAAATGGCTCAATGGCACCATCTGTTTAGCTCCAATAATGTCATATATCAAAAATGTGGAGGGTTCCAAAGCATCTCTAATTCTCTGCTATATGAATAGATTTTACACTGTTATATGGATGGACATTATACTGAGACAGAAATTTTGGGTTCGCACAACTTGCCTAACTCTGAACCCAGGTTAAGAAACTATGGTTGGTTCACATCATGTGCTTCATGCCTACCAATCAACCAGATGATAGTTTCACATGCTGGCTGGATTCATACATGTTACACCAATGGCTGGGTTCCCACGATACAAACTAATCAGCCTGTTATGTTGGGTAAACACAGCCAATGTGGTTAATCTGCTGCTGGCATAGCACACTGTGTCTACCTCTATAAAAGAAAGTGGAGATATCCTTGGTGAAGGAATGGATGAGCAGTCGAGTGAAAAATGACATTGCAGTCATGGGAAAGTAGAAGAGGTGGGAAAGAAACTCACCTTGCTTCTGGCTTTCAATATTCTGTTATTATACCCTACAAACAAAGTAGGATTCCTGTAATCCTTGCAATGTCTGTTTCCTGACCTGGCCAACTTCAGTCTTGAAAGCCTGACATTGCTGTCCCTTCCTTCTTCTTATACCAAAGAGAGTCAAGGCAGGAGAATCTTGAGTTTCTTTCTCATGCCTTCTTCCCTTCTTGGACTTAATTCATGCTTTGCTCATTGCTGCATTCCTTCTCCAAGGTCATATCTGTGGTTCTCTACACATAGGGTAATTTGTTTCACCAGATTTCTAGTTATCTCTTCATTCTAACTCCACATGCATTCACTCATATGCTAGGGCTACCAGATCTCAGCTGTTGTCATCCTTACAAGGTAGTCCAGACAAGAAGCCCACCCAGAAGTACTAGCTCTAACTTGTGATGGAATGGAATTATGAACGCCAGACTCAGGGAGGGAAACGTGCTCTTTTGTCTCCTGAGGGGCGAGGAAGAGATAAGAGGAGGAGGCTGGCACCTCCCTGAGGAATTCAC